GCTCGCCGGGAGGATCAGTCAATGCCGCTGTCATAGCCAGGACTGGGGCAGAGTAGTCATAGAAACAAGTTAAAAATTATAAGCTCGGCACTTTCCTCACATTTTGTTTTTAGGTGATTTAAACAAACAGAACCTAAACTTGGCAACAGTTCACAGTACCTTAATTGAAAATTAAAAAATTAAACCTTCACACCAAGTTTTTCTGGCAGGTCTGCAGAGTGGAATGGAACTTGTACTGATTAAAAAGTGACTTACAGACATGTAAGACTAATTTATTATTCTATAGTTCAGGTTGATGGTATTCAGGTGTTTATCTGTGACTAAAAAGGTAGAAGCTGCTGAAGCCACGAAGAAGAGAACACATCAGAAATATAGCAAGTATAAAGCAGAGAGCACAGAGATGGAACCTCAGATTTCCAGAGTAGCAAAAAACTAAACAGGAAAAATGTGAGGCCAGTATTTTTTCATAAAAGCTCCTCAAAGAACTATAATCCAAAGTTGATGTTGTTCAGTACTAGAATTTAATGGCGTGTAAACAGAGCAGAGATCACACACATGTGCAGCTAACTGTCTGTCTTTAGCAAAAAGTTAAGAATGTTCTTAGCTTTAGGAGCTGTTTTTTGAAAAAAGACAGGCCTCACAGTTTTTGTGAGGACGAACCGTATTACCTGGTGAGGTGGCATGGCTCGCTGATGTGTTTTTAATGGTTTTCACACAACAATGGATGTCTACGGCACAGACCAATAAGATAAACCAGGTTCTGGTTTCACATGGATTGCGGTGAGTAAACAGAGGTCTAGTCATTCTATGAAATGTTTTGAAAACAACAAAAACACAGAATCACTATCCATCATCATAATTTGCCTAATGTCATTAATTAATGTAATTATTATTATTTTTTTTATTGTTTGTTGTTTTTTGTTGTTCGGAGTTTGGACCTTGAGTCTGCAATAAAGTTTCTATCTATTAAAATAACAGATAAACAACAGACTCTCACAGTTTTACAGATGAATGCAACTACATGCTGTCAGTGAAAAAAAATGGAAGGAAGTCTTATCTCTAAAAATAACTAGAGGAAATGTAAAGCGAGAAAAAACAAATAGGAACTGCCACATACACTAGAAGCTCTAGATACAAAGTAGCTCTAAGATAGAACCAACCACCTGTCAGTGAAAAATAAAGCAGACAACTTTGGAGCTGTGTAACACCTACTAGAGCTACAACAGGATGAATTAAAGCATTATACCAACAACTGACAACCCCAATACGTATAAACTAGATAAGACGTCACCACTATAGACACTATCGTGATCTTACTGCTCTATCATTAAGCCCTCCTACCTGCTCTCTCTTTGGCTTCTGGGCTGAGCTGGTCCACTGCCTCATTGGATGAAGACTTGTCAGATATATAACCCTCGCTTGAGTCTCTCTTGATTGTTCGACTCTGTTGGAATGACACAAGTTGAGCTGTGGAATTCTGCAAGTACTTACAGACCACGTCTAATCCTGAAATACTGAAGTGCTACAGCATGTAACAGTGACTCTTATGGTAGAAGGCCACGAACATTTGAGATAAGTCTGACCAGAGTCTTCTGAGATGAGGCCGTTATTTTGCAGTTATAAATATACAGTAACTCTTGCCCAGGACATTTCGAACTGTCAGATAATCTAAGTATCACCCTGTTTTTAACCCTGCTGAGGGACAGGTCATTTTACTTTTGCGCGTCTATGTCATCTGATACAATCACAGTTAATGTCGCCAGTCGGGCAAACGTTTTTCTTTCTAAGCAATAGTTATAAAATCCCCATGGAGTAAAGCTTGAAAGAAGGTCACAGAGCAACAGAAAGGCAGCAGCTGTCCAGCGTGAATAAACGTGAGGTTAATGTGCAAGGCGCAAAGGCTCTTAAAGCAACAGGTAAATTAATCAGGAGAAGGAGCAAACTTTCTCTGTCCTGTCTTATCAACACCTTTAATGTTTTTTCACTGCAGTACTTACTTCTAGTGAGTGTGGCCGCTCTCTGGTGGAGTTTTCATGTTCGGGGCTGGTATAAACATCTCCATCCAGGGGACAGGAAGCTCTGGGAGGGCTGTCTGGAAGAGGTGCAGTGGGCACTGGGGGAGGGGGTATACTGAGTCTCTGCTGAAGGTCAAAAACCTGGTCGTGGTGTGTGATGAGAAACTCAACAAATGCAGCCTGGTAACTTGTCTCCAGCAAGGCGATCATCGACATGTCCGTAGTCACAAGAGGGCGCAATAGTGTCGGCCCAAACACAATACCCAAGTTACTTGGGGACATCTTGTTCTCATGGTTCTCTGAAACTCTGTAAAGACAGAAAGAAGATTAATTCAAACATAAATTGAGGGTAGGTTTGCTCTCTGAAGTCAAACAGAGGTTTGTGCTATGGTGGACAATTAAGAGAATGTAGTCAGATCTCCTGGATAAATGAGAAGTCTGTCACCCAGCTGCATGCTCACTTTTGCAGGTGAGACATCATGTGCTGCAAAGTGCTGTAGTAATATGGAGGGAGTTTCTGTAGTAGCTTTTGGAGGCTGTAAATGATGTCCATTATCTCATTAGTGTCTGGTGCTGGCTCCCGTTCACTCAAATGCTGAATGGTCTTGCCCACCGCCATGAAATCATTGTATAGGTCAAAGGTTAGTAAGGGCTCCGGGAGCTGTAAGAAATAATAGTGAGATTAGAAAGATTAGTAAGAAAAGTGACGTCCTTAGTCAAAAATACTACTCATACAATCAGCCTATTCAGTACAGTGAAGCTCATTTAGCAGTGAGTCCTGTACCTCCTTAAAGAAATGCTTAAGGATTGAGGTGATGTCATGCGGAGAGAGGTCAGAGAGGTCCACTTGCTCCTTTTGCATCTCAAAGGCCTGACAGAGCTTCTGGATGCGAGGTTTGGATCCACTCACACGATACACGCCCTGAGAAGAGAAGGAGAGCAGAAAACAACCATAAGTCCACAGCTAACACCTGACACCCGCTGCATTTGTGGTCGCTATGCAAAACAATACCTGGATTGAGAGAGCGCGACTCTCAATCTCAGATGTGCAGCGTAGTACCACAAAGGGCACCTCGTCTGGCCTGTCACCTGCCAGCAGAGAGAGGTCCACCCCAAACACAGTCCCCTTCCTGTTCTCACACTCAAGCTGACAGACCTCCATGCATTTCCTGTGCAAAGCCATCCCACACTTAAGGTGAGAGAGGGAGAGAATAATTACTGTGACAATCTCGCCTCAAGCCACTGATGATCTGCCCATGTCAGTCAGATGCCCTGTTATTTTCCATGTGTAACTCTTCATACCTCCTCACATTCAACCCCATTCACAACAATGTAGTTGTCACACTGCTTGCATTTGATCATCTTGCTCTTTGTCTTTCTGAGTTGGTGTGTTAGTGCAGCTCGTGAAAGTGTGCGCACTTTGACTGGCTGACCATCAGTGTACTCTGTAGGGAGACAGGAAGAATATGATGGGTTAAGAATAATGACTCCAGTGAAGTATTCAAATCAGAAATGGATAAAAAGGGAATAACAGACCTGATTCTGATGTCCCATCACGGTCATCCTGGTCGTCTGATGACACCGTCAAGGTGGATGGGGTTTTAGGCAGCCTCCTATTAAGATGAGCTTGAATTTTGCATTTCCATAGGGCACAGACACAACAGAGGAGGTTAAACAGGTTTATCTCTGCAAAGGTTTTACATGAATGTGAAAGAAAAGTTATGGCTTACCAGGACTGGACAAAGATTCCAAACTACCTCCAAAACTCTCACTGTCACTGTACCCCATTTTCTCTACGATGAATAAAAAAAGAATTAAATTTAAGAGGAGAATTTGTCTGTTAATATAAACATATTTAATTGTGGGGATCCTTACTGCTGTCACTGGATCTTCTATAAGGAATGTCGTCTATCACCGGGGGCAAGTCCTGAGGATTGCTGGTTTTTCGTTTGTTCCTTTCAAATAAAGAGGACAGCAACAGTAATTTTAATGAATGAAGTATTAGTAGAAGCACATAAAAGGTATCAGTTTTTATCACATTTAAACTGTTTTGACTAAAACGTCTTATAACAAAGCAGGTTTACTACACTGACAGATATTAACTGCTTCCACCAAGTATCAAATTAAGACCGAGCACATGCACACACACATCCAAGGTATCTGGTTTTCTTTTAACACACTGTCATTCATAATTAGCTCTTTGTTTTCATCCATTCATTTTCATTTCTTGCCTTGAACAACAAAATTGCACATTTTTTAAAGATGCATAAACTTTTGATATCCACAGTGGAGACCACAGCCAAAGTAACAGCAGAAAGAGTCAGTGGTTAGTTTAATGTACCCTTTGCCCTGAGGAACATACTCCTGGAAGGTAAAGACTTGGAGAGGTTGTTCGGGGCGGTGCTTGCTGAGGATGTAGAGCATGTAGGGTTCACCAGGCTCCAGGCACCTACATTGTGACTCCAGTCTGAGATAGCCGAGGGGAACAGGCTCCATCTGCTGCCGCTGGTAGTAAAACATGTTGACTGTGGCCTGGTGGAGAGAGGAGAGGTGATGTGGAGACAAAACAGTGGTTTTACTGTCCTAATTTATCAAGAACTATACGGATGCAATGTCAGAATACTGCTCTTCTTGTCAATTTTCTTTTTACATCCCCATCATAGAAGTGTTAATGTTACAACAAAAGAAATAATGAAAATACTGTTTTAATACAGTACAAATGACTGATGTATTGAAATTCTACAGCTGTAACCCCTTTACTTGTTGCACTACCTGAGTAGATTATTTTATTCAGGAAGAGACGTATTTATTCGTGTAGCAATGGAGATGGAGGCTTACTATCATCCAACCACAAATATTCATGAATGTGTCATTTCATACACAGAGGGATTCTACAGCAGAGAATCTCATATAATACCAACCTGCTTGACCACAGTATCTCCCTGACAGATGAGCTTGCGAACGTGAGAAATAATTCTCTCCTTGACCTTTATCAACTCATCTTGGTGGATCTTGGCATCGTCCACGCACTGTTTGTACAGAAGCTCTGCCTCCATCACCTAGAGGAGATGGAGAAGAGACCTGAGAGCTGCTATACAATCAAAAATCTGTATCATTTTAAAAATCTGTATCATGAAACATAAAGACACTACCAGCCTCTGGACTAACTGTACCAAAACTGCATTCTACAGTTACATAGCAGTAAGGAGACATTCACCTTAGTCTGGGCTTCATCCTTGGACTTCCGTCTCTTATCCAGTGTTTTGATTCCAGCGGTGTCATCCACAGCTTTAGCAGAAACAGCTTTAGCCTTTTCTAGCTCATCACAGCGCTGAAAGTACTGCTGCCGAGCCTTTTTCAGAGCTGTCACTGCTTCGTTCTGAGACCATGTGAGGAAGACACACAGAAGGAAAAAACACAGATTAGTTTGATTTTACTGTGTCATGTGCAGTCGAACATAAACCTTTAGGCATCAACAGATCATTCTTTCACAGAGGCTGGACTTATGCTTCGGGTGCTTGTTCACACATCCAGTCTGTTGAAATGTCTAAAAATTGAAAGAAAAAGGTTTGACAGTGCAATGAAGTGAACTGCATGTCAGTCAGAAACAAGATTTCTAACTGACTTACCATCCTCCTCTGTTCTCTTGCCCATTGCTCCTTAAACTCTCTGCGCCACTTGTCGATCTCATTCCTCTTGGCAGCCAAGGCCTAAACAAAAGGCCATAGTTACACATTGCCTCAAAAACCCAGAGAGAAATTATCCAAACCTTTTGTACATGAATGTGGACTTTCATACTTGGTAACAGCGGTTATGTATCAGTTCAGAAGTCTTTCTAGAGGCCACACTGTTCTTGATGTCTTGGTCTAGTGCCATGGTGTAGATGTATTGCAGAGGCATAATTTCCTACACAGGCAAGAAAACCTTTAGACAGCTTTTCACTGTAAATATAGCTGAGAAAGGTCAAATGTTACCAGCACAACTCTATTATAGGGCTCACTTCCAGTAACACACAATGATAATCACTTTGTCTGGAACATATCCAACAAACCAACCCGTACCTGTTGTGTAACACTGGCTTTTGCACTTTCAGATGTCTTCATCACATTTTTTGCAAATTCTTGTTCTGTCAACAAAAATCCTTGTTAAGTTTTTCTTCACTGTAAGTGACTCACAAGATATGGTACATCAAGACAAGAACTACACTCTCAAAACAAGTATCAACAAAAACTGAACATTAATAAACAAGGTAGCTGGTGTCTTCTGCTGTTCAGCTTGCATTGTATTACATTTTATTTTTATTTTTCACTTCTATAACTAGATAACTGGCTATAGAGAGGGGAGATCAGAATTCACACCTAAAGTACAGCAGTAAATACAGTATTTTTTTCTTCCTTCATTCATAAAATGGTTACTACTGCTGATTTATACATTATAAATGTGCACAAAGTATGAGATAACTCATGCTCCATAGCCTAGGTTATTGGATGCCTCTTTACTGAAAAGCTCGTCAAACCTCCTGGAGGTTGGGCAGGACATGACTGTGGTGGAGCGCAACCTTTCACCTTATTGGTGGAACTAATTTGCTCAAGTCTGCATTTGAGTCAGCTGTTCATATTAGGAAGAACTACAATAGGAAATGAACTCAGAACCGTTTATTTTCAATGTTTATGCTTGGAACTGTGAAACGGTCCATATACAGTCTGACTGTGGTTCAGTATTACGGGACATTAACAGATTCTAGCACTGCATTTACAGTTCTTGATCTCACTGCTCTTTAAAAATGGACGCTTCAGGGATCTCACAATGTTGCTTTGCTATGTGTAATCCACAGTAGTTTGTGCTGAGCTCCACCCAACATTACTCATCTGTTACTATTGCCTAATACTGCTCCTCACACAGCTAAGCTGCAGAGCTCTATTGCCACTTTATATGTTGATTACTGTCAATACACTTGCATGCTTGACATTCTGTTTGGACACTGGGCACCTATGTAGGTTGATGCAAGGGTAATCGCCATCTATGCAGTCCAAAGACACCCCATCTCTTTTATCACCCTCCTATAACCAGCTAATCTGCCCACTAATCCCTTCTGTGTGTGTGTGTGTGTGTGTGTGTGTGTGTGTGCCCTATAGCTCACTGAAGTGACCACACAACCCACAGATGTTCACACTGGGTGAATTAATAGACAGGCCATGTCATGGCATGATACTTATTCCACCACACTAGTCAACCATTAAACATGTCTGCACTCTTAGATTTGGAGTAATAGATAATCTGCTCTCTGCAGGCCTGCTCAGTACACTACAAATGCCTTTGAATAAGAAGCAACACCTTCTTATGCAAAACTGTAAATAGCCTGAAGTTTAAACAACAAATGTTAGTACTTTTGTAAAATGAATAAATACATGGTCAGTAGAATGACTTTCATGCGACAGTAGAATGACATTTTGTAAGAACCCCATTTATCTGTTTGTGTGCAGTTTATATTCAAATGCATTAGCTTGGCAGACACACAGATATGTTATGACAATAATTTATATTTTACTATTTGCTCTGCCCAGCTGCATGTCCACTTACCCAAAGTGATTCTTTTCTCCATCCAAGCAAGGAGGTCTTTGGCATAGCGGCACCACATCTTGGTATATTGCAGCGCTGCCTCCACTCCATCCTCACTACGACAGAGGGCCAGGTCTGCTTCCTGGGCTGAGAGGGAGTACATCAGCATCAGTGGAGGCTCCATACACTTGGAGCTGTACCTATGGATCACACAGCGTCCATTGGACTACACTCCACAGCTGGCCTCTCCTGGAGGACACAAACAGCCTCCAGCTTCAAAGAAACACCTATCTACTCTAGAGTGACAACCCCCAGCTCTCAGATTTTACCAGACAAGCTAAAAAAATATACCCAAACCCAAACCAGGAAACAATGACTGCATATGACAAGTCATAGTTCCACAGAATAAAGGTCCCATGGTTTCCAATAGCTCTCAGTAACTATACACATCTCTTGCATGCAGACACAATAGATGTATACTGTTGTTGGTTGGCAAAAATCTCTTTAATCAATCACAAGTCTCCCAGTTAACACAAATGGGGATGTGACCCATGAGAGCAAGACCAAATGCAAACAGCTATAGCTAGCTAACTTCCCCCCTTTCCCCTTCCCTTCCTTTTTCTGCTTGGCTCCTCCCTCTCACACTTGTTCACTTCTAGTTAGCTACAAAGAGAAAAACCATGCAGTGACAGCAGAGTCACCAACACCACTCAGTGCCAGTGTGCAGAATCAAAGGCTGCCATGTCACAGCTCTACTGTGGCCATGCAGGCAGGGTGTTGATATCACACCCACAGTGCATGGTTCTTCCTCTGTGACTCACTCCAACACTGTGTGGATGATGTGTGCGTGCCAATCATGTGGTCTCTGCACTCAACACTACTTTCTTCTTTTTCTTTCTCTCTGCATTCCACTTCCAGCGCAAACATTCAAATAAATGTCCATGTGAAAATCTATTAGAACATATCTCCTGTAGCCAAAAGTTAAGAGCACTTTCATGGAACTTTCACTTCTCCTTACTGCCCACGGTGCAGTTTTAAGTATCTGAAGCACTTCCAGAAAGAGTGCAACTCAAGTTCCTCACACACACACACACACACACACACACACGCAGATTTGATTCTGCTCTGTTCATTTTGCACAGCTGCCAAATGCAGTTGGAGTGGTATACAAATCCAACCAGGGCGATATTTTCTTCTCTGTCTTCAAGAAAAATTCATAAAACACAACAGGCAATTCCAGAAGAATGATAGATCAACGCCCATGGTGCACCTCTCTTAGTCGTTCCTCTCTGGGTTTTGTTTCAGGAAATGCTTTGAGAACTTTCAGGAATCAGCCTCCAGACAGAACTCATGCTCATGGCCGTACCCTACTGCACTTAACTGGGGATAATCCTAGTCAGGCGCAGATTGTGGAGCGACAATCTTTAGAGGAGCATCAAGTGAGGTTTACCTCCCTGTGCTTGACTGAGCTGGGGCTGCTGGGTAACACATAAAACCACACTGACAAAGAACATGTTCTAGTAACACAAAATGACTTTCATGTAGTAACATCAGGAATTACATTAAATGGGGTACCGTGTCAGTGATCAGTGGGTGCAGATATGTTTGACCTTGAAGCCAAAAGAAGACTTAAAAATTGTATTTTATGGCCTGAAATGAGAAGAGTTCCCGTGCTACAAGCATCAGTTAGGTATTGACTAGCTATTTTAGTCTTTCTACTGTCAGCCTGAAACATGTCTCTACATCTCTTCATCTGTTATTGTGCTGTGACCTGTAGTTTGAGTCAAACTGAGGTTGGGGTACGTGCCAGCTGCAGCCAGTTTGGACTCTAAGTTTAGAATGTCTTTTTCTTTGTCTTCCCTGTATTTACTGCCTTAGTCTGCGTAACACAAATTCCTCCACTTTCTGTGGACTCCCCTGTCTTTCCCTTGTGTCTTATGTAAAAACTGAGGGCAGCTGTCTCCTGCTTTAATCCACTAATCCTGTTACAACAGGGCACTTACAACTCAGGGCTAATTATAAAACAACAAGAACAGAGTTTAGAAGACACTCTGCTAAAGGTCACAGACTGAGGCTCCTGCACATCATCACATAGTCACAAGATAAACATTCCAAGTTTCTTGTTCACAGAAATGGTGGTGGCATACAGTATAGAGGACACTTTTATTGACTCCTGGTGAGCAGGGCTTGAGAGTTTATACCAACAAGACCTATACTGACACACACACAGACACAAACAGAAATCATACCTGATATGTTTCCATCAGCTTCATTGGTTTCATTTGTCTCAGAGCGTATCTGTGCACAAAACGCATTGTCACTCTGTGGAATGAAAGCACATGTGTACATTACTGGTGTCAGTGTTTAGTAGTGTTGGCAAAATCACTTGAGCTAAAAATTAACATAACCACCAACTTAAATAACAGACATGCAGTAAGTATTTCTTGTACTCATTTTAATAACTGATCTCTTACAGATACGTCATGTTGCTCTGTGAATTCTGTGACGGGTTCAGAGATGGACTGTGTGTCAGAATCTGCCAGCAGATCCTCCCTTGAACTGAACAGAGAAGGAGAAACACATGCAGTCAAAAAGCAAGACCTGAAAAGGCCCCGTGTGTGTTGAGGACCATGCTGTATAAACACACTTACCTGCAGCTGTGTTTCTATGGACATGTTTACCACACACATGAAATCAACAGTGAACATGTTGTTAGGCTGATCAGTATCATACACAAATGTTTTTGGTGCATTTTAAGGTGCAGTGCATTTATTTATACACTTTTGCCAGTTTACTTTACTGCACTTCTGCTCTACAATATTCTGAGATTATATCTGTTTAAAGTCGGTGCTGTGATGCTTGGGCAGATACGTTCCCACAAAAGGAACAGTTTTCAGGCTGTCAAAAAATTAGCATGGATTTTTCCAAGAACTTGCTCCTGTCCTATAAAATAATCCACATAGCTGGACGGTTCTCATCCTGTGTGGCTTCTTATATACTCAGCAAAGCTTACAGCATCTTTGAATGACACCTCTCTAACCACTGAGTTTAGTTTTTCCGTCACAGCGTTCAGACTGAACTTGACAAGCAGAGTGACGCAGGAGACAAGAGAAACATGTGGTTGTAAATGTATAATACTTACGAGGAGATTAAAGATAAATCAAGCTTATCAAAGTCCCTGAAGATTTCACTGTATCGCTTGGTTTCAGATTTATGAGGCACCTTCTTCACATCTGAAATGAGAAACGGTCACTGAAGATTATTGGTATTTTTCCAATGCAGTACTTCTTAGCTGTTCAGCAAAAGGTATCAACTAAATGGCTAATGCACAGCGTAACAACATGCTAAGAGAATGATATAAAACATGCACTGAGACGAATGATTGTGCTAAAAAGTCAAGAAAACAAATCAAACTTGTATTTCCTTCCCTTAGTCAACAGGATTTCCTTTAAATTTCTGTGAAAAAATACTTCTTTGACTGAATGTACACTTCAATATAATGAGGACCACTATGGTACATTTTTATGACAAAACCTCAACCAGTTGTTTTCCCAGTGTTTAACTGGTATTTCACATTGGAGCATACCAAAGGTTAAAAAATTAATGCAACAAACATGAAAAAGCAAACTCTTTCTCTCCCCATTTCGGTCAACCACATCCTGCTTGCAATTTGTATCATGCACCGTAATGCACATGCAGTCCTTGTTTTTCACACCAGCAGCATTTCGGTATAAGAACTGTTTGAGCAAAGCTACAACACAAAGTCATATTCCACTTAATGAGACAAAGCCTCAACAGTTTTTGGTTGCTGTACACAGTACTTGCAACATTCTTTAAGTTTACAAACAATTTATACTCCGGAATTTAAGTCACATGGTGAGAGGTTCCTGAGTAGGAACCTGCAAACACACGTTTTACTAATTGTCTCACTAATTTCATTGACATCTTAAATGAATATTCAGTTCTTTGCTTTAGTAGCAAACATTTCCTGTTAAAAACCAAGGCAGAAGTCAAACACAGCCCCCCCACACAGCCAATATGTCAAAATCAAGAAAGAGTTAAGGAAGTTCACAAATCCTCGTCTGACTAGGATAATGCCACGCAGCACCACAGACCTGATATTAACGAAGAATATCCAGGCACATTGTGCGTACAATATGTTCATACCTACGTCCTAACGGCACTACAGGGGTGTCAGCAAATTTCCCATCAGCGTACAGAACATTTATGTTTCTCGATAGGAGGGTTTCAAAAACAAATGAACCAAAAAAAAAAAGAAAACTTGTAAGTATGTATAGGCCTAATGGACATTTTCTATGAAGTAGAAGGTGACACTTCATGAAAACATCACATCCTCTGAGCTCACCTGTGGCTTGAGATGAATCCTCGTTTGGCACTTGATCTTCCATTTCTACACTATCACCACAGCAGCAACACCCTACCAACACCACTCGCACATCATCTGCCCTTCAGGTCACAGTAGAGTAACACAATAAGGAAGAATATAGTTGAGGTGGCAGGAAACCTGCTCTGCAGTGTATTCATACACTGACACACTCAAGGTAAATTCTTTTCATGCAGCTCTAAACGTTGTGCTCTCAAAATGATCTTCCTCTGGTAGCGGTTGGTTAATGTTTTCACCACTATAGGAAGAGGAAGTGTGTCTTGTTACTTACTTCAGGCCCCACCTACACCACCACACCACACATACTGTATTTAGAAGGTGTTAATTTTGTGTTAGTAAAAAGGTTTCTGATCTTAGTTGTAGCGAAAGTACAAACAGAATGAACGGTGTGTGTTTTGACAGACTGCAGACATTTTGGCCTTGATATTAACAGGTACTAAACCACAAATCACTTTTTGCTTGATGAACAAATAAGTTCATTATGAGCTGGGGTTTGTCCAACATGACAGTCAATACTTGGTTAGAGGTGAATTCAAAACTCACACGTTACAGTTGAAGCAGTGTCTGTAAAATGATGACACCTTTAGGATTAACATGATAAAACATGGGAGAACAAACTACATGCTTGCATACTCAGTTCAACACTATGCGGTATATAAGGTGGAATAAGGTCTCAGTGAATAGTCACTATAACACTGGCATCCCACACAAACTACTAAAGCTCTGCCATAATGATGGACCAAAGTTATAGCATGAAAATTAGTTCTAAAGCATTAGAGAAGTCTTGTTTGAACTATCATACATTTAAATGGCACAAGCAACGTCACTATGATAATATGCATTCTATTACAGTAAAAACAAATTCAACTTTTATTCTTGTTGAAAACAAATGCACCACTTACATTTCTGTGTAAAAATCAGTGGGTGAACGTCCCCCACCAACCCCCTACAGATATCAGTGTCTTGGGAGAACTAGTGTGGCAGAGAAAATAAAGCTAAACATGATGAGGCAAACTTTCCATGTTCTCTGTGGTAGGGGCCTTACATTCAGTCTGGCTCAAACAAGATGCTTAAATTCAGATTTAACAGAGAATGAAGACCTGGAGTGATGTGTGTTTGGATGTGGTTCTTTCTGAAGGGAACTTACATAGCCATGTTCCTCCAAAACCATTAAACCTGAGGCACGTGCAGTGGTTTGTCTCACCTATAACCATGTCAGCAGCAGGTTAGTAGCATTAGTCTGGAAATAACCTAAATGTGGGGACAAGGGACACAGGAATGACAACTAGCTTTGGCATTTGTTCTCCAGTAGTTCTGTAAATGTAAGATTCTGAGTTGACATCAACTGTTGCTTGTGCATTTAATTGCTTTGTAAAGCTTCACTGCAAGCATCTCAAGTGCTGACTAATGATTATGTAAAACAAAGTTTAAAAAGAAAACAATAAAAAAAAAAAACAACACAAAGCAAAAAACATACAGGTGTTTCTTATCTTGGACTTTTCATAACACAGACCAATGAATTTGACTGGTTGAATCCTTGTGTTAAGTGTCTTGACTTTGCTCAGTGACACAGAGTATGGTTATAGTCTAATTCAATGGTAGCCTTGAGAAAGTGTATTTTAAAAAACTATTTCCAGTGTAATACTCAACTAGGACAAGAAAACTGCTCAGCAACTGAAATGTAACAGTCCAACTGCATTCTTTGCCACTTTCTGTATGACAGACCGAAGTTGGGTACTGCAAATGCCACTCCAAATGGCAAGTCTAGTGCCTTTCTACGGTAAAAACTATAGACAAACATGACAGAAGACACCCGATCCCTTTTTAATTTGTCACATCTGGATAAATTAAATCATTCTACAAACTCTGAAGTGATGCAAAAGTCAACCGGCCTCTCATAGCTCATCCCGTACTGTACTGTCCAAAGGAGACTGCAGCACGTCGGAGTTCTGGGCCTCGGCGCTGATCTCAGCCTGCTCCCGAGTCTTTCCTGAGCCTGCTCTGTCCCAGTCTGTACGGGCCTTGTCATTGTCCCACACTGTGGAGGTCTCAGTGTCGCTGATGTAGCCTGGGTCGCCCGTGTAGTGTGTCGGGTACACTAGAAGAGGCTCTGCTGAAAATGCCTTCAAGTCTCTGGTTTCAAACTGTTCCATATAATCAGACCTGTGGAGGAGAAGGCAATGTCAAGAAAAACAAAAAAGGCAAAGCTCCTACACAGAAGTATACAGTATATTTTGTGTGTGTACTTGTACTAGGTAGGGTACAAACACTTACACAGGGTGTTTATTGTACATAACAGGAAGAAATTCATCCACTGGCAAAATCCTTTTTAGCGGTTCTGCTTTCAAAAGCTTCTCAGCACCTTGTAATGATATCATATAACCTAGAGTCCAGTATGAATAGTCTGCTTCCACTAAGTTGTGTACATTGGGCACTGCTTTCTCTGGGCGTTCCACTTGCATTCTCTTTCGACCGATATAACTGGAAGATAGAGGCAGAAGAGCAAGTGAGAAGCAACTCCAAACTGAGGAGGATCAAGGTAAACTGAAAGACTGAAGGAAGTACAAACTCACATGAGATCCCAGTCCAGTCCTTCAGCCTCCACCTCGTTCATCAAGTTCATCAAGCGGCGTTTGAAGAAGACCTCAAAGCGCAAGTCGTCTTCAATCACCAGAGAGGTGTGTAGGTTTCGCTCCACGATCTAAGACAAACACAGGTTTATCGGTAAAATCATTCATCTATTTGTTTGTTCAAATACTTGGCTTCTGTGGCTCACCTCTTTCCAGATGTTATGGTGGGAAAGGAAACATCCCAGCTCTCCCCTTGTCAGTGGACGACCGTGATAAGGATCACTGTATCCGGGGAGCATGTGGATGCCCATAGTGTGAATTTCACCGATATTCATTGCTCTGAAAAAGAGAGAGAATAATAAGTGTGACAAAATGTTAAAGAGACGTATGATTATCAAGTACTGAATAAAGGTAAAGAATTCATTAAACCGAGTGAACTTACTTTCCGTCTACAGCGGCGATGACCTTGCAGGCAATCTCTTGCTCGTACAACGCCCTCAGCATGCGTTCTCGGCGGTCAGTCCTCCTCTGCAAGTTTATCATGAAAACCTGCGTGTGGAGCAACGTTGGAACCAGAAGGGTAAGTACAGATTTCTAACAGCAGGGGGAGACATTCAGCACACAAGAGGACAGAGCACCATTTTTGCAGATTCCATCTTCACATCACTCTTTACTCACCTCATCAAAGCCCAGTTTGTCAGGATGTTTTCCAGGAACAGGTATGTATTTGGAAGGCATCACCGGGGAATTTCGCACTACACGGTGAGAGGGAAGATGGATGCAGAAATGATATGAATGAGACATAGAAACCCATGCTGAAAGTTATTAGATGAAGCAGCAGAAAGTAGAATACAGACATAAAAGCCAGTGGAAACAAGGGAGTTAAATGCAAAAGTAAAGCCCCCAGTCTGAATGTAAGCTACTCACCATTAACCTCCAGCAGGGAGTGCAAGAAGCTCTCAGCTTCGTCTTGCAAAGTGTTGTGGGGTCGTAGTGGCACAGGGAAGTAACCATAGGTCTCTTTATTACATACAAACATTTGAACATCTGTAGAGACCAGAGGACACCACTTAGGCTAAAAGGGTTCAAAACAAATGTCCAATATGTTTAGATTTAAGCGATGAATTGTATAATACCTGCCATCCGAGCAGAGAAGGCAAACACAATGATGTCATCAAAAGCCCAGCTGTACTCTGGATGTGGTGGGTGAAAGGCCAGCTGCCTGGATGCCTCTTTCCTGAGGTCTATCAGGAAGGTGGAGTGGACCATGGGTACTGCAAAACAGCCCTTTCGTATCTGCTTCTTCATGGGTATGTAAGCAGGGGTGCGCTTATAGTAACCCTGAAGAAGCAGAGGCAATTCACAGTCGAGTTCAGAGAATAACTGAGACCATTCATTAAACCAAGCAAGCTCCTTTACACCCAATCATCAGCACGGTACCTGCGAGGTCATTCCACACCAGAAGTTTGAATAGGCTGCACGGGATTCAAGCATTGGAGCGATAATGGTCTTATTCTCTTTTATAAGCTTCCACACCACATTAGGGTTGGTGAGGAGGTTATCGCAGTCCACCACCTGCACGTGGTACAGAAGATAAAATGTAAAGTATGCGATCTTCCTAAGACGATCTTCTAACTAAATTATGAAGTTTAAATAGGACATCAACTCTGAGAAGGTAAAACAAGCAAACCAAAACAGAACCAGGCAGAATTTAACTCCATGCTGTTTTAAAAGAAGAAAGCTATGATTATTTCTAAATGCAGTATGTGTTGCTCAAACTTTAGCAATACTGAATGTTACTCTGAATCACAATAACAACCCACTGAAGCTATAAAATGTGGGCTAAGCTCAGGAATTCAAATAAAAATGTGCACAAAGCTGCATTTTTAAATACAACTGATGATGAGTCAAGCTTTGTGTCAATGTAATGATCCAGATGAACTAGACACAAAATATAACTAGGACAATTTTCAACACGCCTCCCAGTGCTTAAACTACAATTTTAGTGATGACGTAGACTTGACCCTGTACTTTCTGCTGTTATTATTGAACAGTAGAGTCTCTGTAGAAACACTGTCTCAATGCTTAAAATGAAAGAGTTTTCAGTGTTGCTGTTTATTTTGTGCCTGTAAAGAGTAGCTTTGTTCACCTACCATAAAGTAATCTGCCCACATCTCACGAGCTGACTCCAGCGCTGCTTGTCGAAGCTTCATTACATGCTCATAGCGAAGGTCTGGCCAGTGCTTTGGGCCATCTTCATCTGCATAACGTCTGCGAGAGACATTTGGATACTTAGACTGATTTTATCGGCTCTGTGAATCTCTTCAGTAACAGACCCACCAAAAAATGACCAACCTTGGCTCCTCCTGTGGCCTCCACAACACATTATGGTACAAGTTCTGCACCTTGACAAGCCAGTTACGCAGAATGGCCGTGGTGTTGTCCTCGTTGTGATCAGTTGCTACCCTGTCAATATGCGGCAAATGTGAATGATCCAAACAAACACTTCAACCTCATAGGGGCGGAATATAATCAACATGTGAGGGTGATAAAAGAAAAACAGTAACAATGGCTGAACGTAGCACTTGTGCCAGTCTGGATTCAAGCTGAGAGAAGAGCTGAAAGATGAGACCACAGCTGAAAAGACAATAGTCCTGTTCACTTTTTGTAAGCTCCATGTCTGCAGCTGTGGGAACAGGCACAAGGGTTAATGACAATGTTATCACTAACAAAAACACTATGACTCTATCTGATATTATTTTCAGGTAGCCTATCACATTTTAGGAATGTTAGATTAAGGAAATATCATCAATGCCACTGGCTTAGTCTGCACTTAAGTCACCAGAGAAGTATTTTCTCCAGGTAAATGACAGTCACGCAGGGTTCTCCTGACAGAATTTGCACAGATTCATGAGAACACACAGCAGCTCCCTGCTAAATAGCTTCTTCACTCGTTGCCGTTGTCCATCCTTCCAAATACTCAAACTTTTCATGTTCAGCTCAAATAAATATTTGTTAAAAGCCTAGTTCTGAACCATATATGGTACAACTATGTCTAAACACAGATCTATGTACAAGTAATGTTTCACTTACATCTGGTCTACAGTTGGCTTCAAAAAAAAAAAAATCCAACATGTGTTTACTACATCACATAGATGTTTGTATTTTCCACATGCAGCTTTTACAGAACATGCCAAAATAACCACAAACATATCTACAGAGATTTTATGCCATACATAAAACTAAAGGAAATACTTAATTTAACTCATATAAAGTTCTTTAATAAAGTTAAACTTGTTTATTATATTTGTGAACCCTCCAAGCAGTAATTAAAATTGCTCAGAACTCAGATTATAAGCACAGGTTTGCTGGTGGAGATGTTTAAATGGTCTGCAACATCCACTTGCACAACCATTAGATAACTGCCATAGAAGGTTGTGCTTGTTCCACATGACAGATAGGATGCAGCTGTTTGTTTGGACAAGGGCCTGCAGAAACACATTTAGTGAGCCACAATACTGCATAAATCAACCAGGGTTTAGTTTCCAGAATCACTTAGCATGTAGAGCAAATATTCAAGGGTGCCATTTGTCAAAGCTAAACAGGTGTCACGTTTGTTCTCCAACACTCCGTTACAAAGGATGGACATGAATTATGGGAAATATCTGTAAGAAGGCTAAAACGTGGTGCAGTTAAGTTAGTGAGGTTTTCCGACATCATACTATACAATTCCCACACCCTGCTACAGTACTGCCAACACAGCTGTCCACAGCTGGAGGCTCCCTGGGGCTAAAGCTTTGCCAGGTCTCTGACCTACAAAATGCATTTGGTCTTTAACACACCCTCTCAATCCCTCACTCCACTAATCATATAGAAGCCTGATTACCATAGTAGGGCAGATGAAGACAGGAAGTCATCTAAAGATAGGGGGTTTGTAATCTATTATATACATTAGTAGCCTTAGTAGCCAGTGTTAGGTATTTTTTGTTAGATAGACATTGGTTAGATACTTGATGTATTAGAAATGTTTAGTGTAGACAGGATGTCTAGCTCAGGCTGTTAAATGCTTAGTCATTCTCAGGGGGTACTCCAGGTTGATAACTAGACAAAAAGCTGATTATTGTTAGGAGACAAAATGTTTATCCTTATTATTATGACGTGTTTAACCATAGTCGTAGTCATAATATTGTCTTATGTCGTGTTAGAATGTTTTTAGCTACACACCACATAATCAACAGACAATCACACATTGATTTTCTTCAGGCTGTGACTACTGCTCTGACCAGCTGCATAGCTGGCACCGGGAGACGTCACGGTTTGGTGTCCCTGAGTAGTGTGGGGTTAGCCCGAGGTGATATAATGTATAGGCCTGTTATGGTTCAGGGTTTTTCATCTTTCAGCTGCCTGTGTGCATGTTGGAGGTGCAAAGACTCCTGAGCGTGTAATGTTAACTTTTACCTGTGATCATTGAATAAATCAGCACTGTTTTGAAGTTATTTGGACTGTCTCGTCTCTCAGAGTTAACGGTGAAAAGAACTGGGTCACCAACACCAGCTTTGACACAATATTTTACTTTGTAGCATTTGTACGTTAAATCCTACAGCCTCCCTTGTGGCATGCCCCCTCCCCTCCCCTCCCCTCCCCTCCACGTATACAGGCCAATGTAGACTACTGTGGTGAGCACAGTGCCCAGATGTGACCAACAGTGGTTACCTTTAAGGACACTAAGTGTCTACTGGTCGTCTGAACCCAGCCTTGGGTCTCCCTCACCCTCCTGCTTGTTGAAACTTGAGGAATTTGTTTGTTTGTTTTTTTTTTAACCCGGAATGTTTTCTGCGTAACACTGTGCAGTCATCATCTCTAAACCCGGACAGACATTCTAGTCTCTTTATTTACTCTTCCCCAAATCTCAGCCGTTATATGCAACATGGTTATTTTAGGAAGAACTCTTAGGCAAAAATAGAAAACCTTTTAGACCTTAACATGCGATAGAGACGCCAAGTTAAAAACTTCGTAGCTGCTAACTCGTTGGCGACCACATTACCTAGTGACCTAACAGCTTACCACAGAGCCATACGGTCCTTGGGGTAGTTGAGACGCTCAATAGTACCGAGAAAATACGGCAAAGAGTGCTCGGAGTTTCGGCAGATGAGGGCGACGAGAACTCGGGGGGCGAGGACCGGAGACTCGGGGCTCCAGCGCTCCTCCGCAAAATATCCCCGTGCTGGGCTGCAGCAGGACAGGAACAGGATGAGCAGGGAAACGGGGGCGAGCCCGTGCATTGCGACAATAAATTAAAAGCTATTTAAACAAAAAACTAAACTATGTAGGCCGTATTTGTGGCTGGTGACAAAACCCTTATTTGAAAGTCATCTCTTTACTTTGAGCGGTCATCACAGAAAAGCGCAAACCGTGGACCAGCTCCTGATGTGAGCTTTAAAGGGCGTGGTGAGGTCTTAAAGGGGATGGACTAATGAACATGTAACCACAAAAGTAAATGTTTCATCAACATTTTATTATATTGTTAATTGCAAACCAAAATAAGTGTTATGGGTGGTTGTGTTCCAAATTAGTGTACAATTTTAGGTCAAGGGTGCATCTTCACTGAATATTTTACTAAAGGTTGTGGAGGCACTTCAGAGTAGAGAAGCAGAACACACAGCTTTTTTGTTTTATGCATTTCCAAAGACACTGAGAAGAACTGTGCTCTGAATATTTTTATTTTATAGCCTTTATAGTCTATGGTTTGTCAGAAACACAACTTTTTATTTAGTATTAACGATGTCCATCCTCTGCATGCTTCACATTTTCAACATCACACCTATGCATGTTGCACAGACTACACTGGCTTCTAAACTCTGCTGTGGAGATCAAACATCCAACTTAAGTAACACAAAGCAAAACATACTGTGGAGAGGGACTTCTTTAAACTTTACTTGAATAAAGCTAAACCTCTGATGCATACACACATCATAAGTGCTCAATCCTATGATGGAAATTACAACAGTATCCTCAGTTTTTTGTTCAGTCCCTATTTCCTATCTTGTTATCTTTCAAGAGAAAGTAGGAATGTTCTGCACTATCTTCCCATTTCTTCAAGTATTAACAACAGTGCTGACCTCTTGACTCCATTTACCAGATGAAAAGTTCTACAGTTTGGCCCCCGGGCCTAGCCTCTCTACCTGGATAGTTAAGGCGCGGGGGGGGGTCAACAAAAAAGCCACAACAGCTCGCCAGTGGCTGGGACAACACGAGCTGCAGGGAATGCTGGACCCTCTCTTCCCTCCAGCACTTCCTGCAAGAAAGTGGCCACTGAGTTAGAACACGGCAGTAACATTTCATATCTCAATAATACAAACTATTTCTGCTGGGATAGAAAAACTGCTTATCTATCGATTATGTCATTGGTTTTACTCAGTTTTAATGGAACTGGGACATGCATTTGTGTAGATGTTTGCTATTTTCACTTTTGTTAGTGTATTTTCAGATCCAACATCTGTCAACTTCTGAATTCTGGAATTTAATCAGCATTTTAGCTACTCTGTGCATGTTTTATTTATTTTTATTGTTCTGACTCCCCCCCCCCCCCTCATAATTAATGCTTTTTGCATCTGGGCCTAGTTTAGACTACTTCACGATGTCAATGACAGAGTGAGGTCTTAGGATTCTGTATATGTATGTACTAAATGTCAAATCACCTTCAAAATGGCTGCTTTGCTTCCTCCTGTTGATACAAAAGCCACACAGCGTGCAGCGTTCACCACTGGTAACGTCATAGTTACACGCTGTGCTGGTGGTTTGGGAGAGTCGCTGATAGGGGCCACAGTCTTCTTTGTTTCCTGAACATTGAGTAAATGGTAAATGGTCTTGCACTTGTATATACAGTATATAGTGCGTTTTATGTATTGATACACACTCAAAGTGCTTTACACTATTCCCTATTCACACACACAAACGTTCTCACTCACATCACCAAGAGCAACTTGGGGTTGGGTGTCTTACCCAAGGACACTTCAAGGGAGTGTCTTGAATAGTGCAAACAAATCACAGGATTCTATTAGACTAGCAAAATGGGAGTGAAGACAGAGTAACTGTGACATCCCTCTAGATCTTAATGAGAAGGACTACCTGAATTAAATACATTCCTTCTTCAGAAACAAATCCATATTAATATGAATTTAATATTTACAGAAACATTTGCAGAATACCTAAGCCCAGCAATTTAATGGCATTTCTAAAAAAAATCGAGTCACATGGTCCAACATGATTCAACACTGAGATGCTGAATTGATTTTCTTTAGGGTCAAAAAGTGGATGCAAAATATAAGAACTTAGGGTGTCTAAATGAAATATGAAAATGGATTTCATACAAATCTGTAATCCCTAATTGTCTTAATCATCTGAATCATCTTTACTGTCAGATATTTATGGTGGAAAAATCACAGCAAGGGCACCTTTCCTAAAGTCAAACAGACATTTCAAGATTTACTGAAGTACAGCTCTCACCTTCAGCAGAGGGTGGTCTGGGAAGAGGGAACAGGTGTGTCCATCAGGCCCCATACCCAGCAGCAACAGGTCAAACACGGGGATGTCATCATCTGGGAAGGCCTGAATGTTTGAAAGCAGCAAACCATATTAAAGGTCGAACAATAACACATGCGTGACTTTGGAGCTAGAACTAATCACAGAACAGTAGCTACAGATAGATGTAAGAGATATCTGCACCTCCTTCAGTTTGCAGGTATAATCTTCAGCACACTCGTTTACTGGCAGAGAGGAGTTGATGGTTAAGATCCCACTATCTGGGATGTTGACTCTGGAAAACAACTGACTCTGCAAAAGAAGGAAAAGGTGACATTTGACCCCAGTAAGAGAACAGCATACATCAATGTAACCATGAAGCTAAACGCTCCTCAACAGATACCTTATACAGCCCATAGGTGCTCTCAGGATCATCAAACGAAACCAATCTCTCATCACAGAAACCGACCACCCACTTGCTACAGTCCAGCTGTGGTAGTGCGAGCAGCTCTTTGCTGAGCATGGACACGAGGCTTCCTCCAGACAGACCCAGGGTGAATCTGCCATGAGAGGCGATGGCCTTCTCAGCCCGCGATGTCACCAGATGGGCCAACGCTGGGCCAAGCTCCGCTGAGGAGGGGAAGACCACGACTCTTCTGGCAGCCATGAGAGCTCTGTCGGAACTGTGGGGTTACTAAGAAAAACAAGAGACTGAAATCTGGTTTTGCACAATAGGGAAGTCGGTTACCAAACAGTTTTGCAAGTCGTGACGATCTGTCCGAAAATATTTTACGGAGTCCTCATGTTAATTGCATGAACTGCTTATTTTTAAACTAAAATTAACATCTGCTAGTATTACCCGACTGTAAGAGTGCGCAAAGAGAAAACTGGAGACTAAGCTTCAACCCACCACAGAATACCACATTAACCACTATCGTAAATATGAGAGAGAAGCGATGCGAATTTCCTAATAGCTTATATAAACCTGACGTTTGTGCCCTATCGCTGCCGTTTCCCGAAAAAAACCAAACAAACATTAGTTTTCTTGCCTGATGGAAACTCAGGTGCAGATTGTCATGAGGATGACTTTCAGTCGGCAAACGTAATTCGTCAAGCTACTTCCTGAATTTTTTTACCAGTTGTGATTGGCTGGTCCTGTGTTTAGGACGCACTGCATTCTGGTCAGTGGAGTCCCCGATTACGTAGCTACAATGACATAAAATCTTATGGACTAATACGTTAAAACATGCGACTACCAATATACTTTCTTACACACCAAAGCTCGATCTTAGAGTAAATATAAGTAGATGTATTTATATTAGTCTAGAAATCATTAGTTTACTACAGTTTTATGTGCGAATGCAATGCTTCCTCCCACCCGGCAGGTGGAATCACTGTCCATTTAAATCAGTCGAGTTTTGAAGAGGGACTCACGCTTATCGTGAGCAAGCATACACAGCTCTTCTCGTGTATTGTAGTGTAACTACATTTTACAGTTAATATTAGCGCTTTCTGATCGTAACAACTTGTCCGTGCGCATCTTGCGTGTCACAGAAACCCAAACAAACATGTCGACTGTTTTCTCTTTCCAGACACAGCTCGTCTCCATCATGGACGCGTTATCTAAAACAGCTGTAATGGAAATAAGCAAACTGGTGGAGATCGAGTCGAAGATGCTGAAAATAGAGATAACTCGAGGCCGGAATGAAATCGCCTCGCTCACAGAGAAACTGCAGCTGATGGAGAAATTGCTTTTTATCGCTCAGGGGCGCAGACAGGACGCACCATCAGCAGCAACGTGCTCAGTGGTAGGGGACGGTTCAGAAAACGGAATATCGGAGCCCGACAGAACAAGACCTGCCATAAAAGGGTAGGCTTGCAGATATCTGTGGGTAGCCTGTAAAAGTATAGTGTGTCTGTGTCTATCATGTCCTTAGCTGAGCTCCAATCTGCCTCATGTATTAATCCAAGTTTATTGCGTCCTAGTGAGAGCCCATGGGAAAGTTCCTCCACGGAGATGAGCAGTTTGCATCAACGTGAAGCGGAAGCTGCAGCTGAAGTAAGCTGACCATACATATTATGTCATTATATTGCACTGTATCATTCATTTGTGACAGGTGCAGTCCACATTCTGTTTTCTCAATAGATTACAAACCCACCAAAAGAGCAGCCTGAACTCATAGTGATAAAGGAAGAGCTGTCCGAAGAGGATAGCAAAGACACGGAACAAGATAAGACAGGTAAAAACAGTGAGTAATGTGTAAACTGTATATGTGCAAGTTCTGACTGTACCAGAAAATTGACCTTAAGTGACCATAAGTGGACTTTAGATGAAGGTTATTTTGTCAAGCTATTGCCATAATACCTTCACACTCCTCATAAAATGTGCTAATAATGTTTTAAAGGGTCCACCAAACTCCAGCAACACACAAAGCCTTTATTGCTATTTATTGTGAAACCAGTGCATTAAGCTTGTGGCCTTAATAATGGCCATTATGGTCAATAGTATTCCAAATTTTAACATGTCAGTTTGCTGTCAACAGGGACTGAAATGAACACAGACACCCAGAAGTATCCAGTTGTGGTGCAGTGTCCCAGACTCATCACAGAACGTCTGCAGCCCGTGTTCACTGATAACTTTGTGACCCTTAGTGTTGGACCAGGAAGGAGGGAAACACAGTGGAATCAGCAGCTTACACCTGCACACACAAACCTAGAGGCTGGGAAAAGCTTAGCTCAGAATATTACTTCCCAAAGTCTAGGTCTGCTAAGGAATATGAAGATTCACAATTTCAGGAACACAGCTGCAAAGAGGTTCGGCTGCTTGCAGTGTGGCAAGAGCTTCAGATGCTTTAGTCAGCTTGAAATACACCAGAGAAGTCACACAGGAGAGAAACCATTCAGGTGCGTACTCTGTGGAAAGCGTTATGCACAAAAAGGGCATCTGTATACACACCAGCGCACACACACTGGGGAAAAGCCATACCGTTGTCCCATTTGTGGAAAGGGCTTTATTCAGAAATGCACTCTTGATATGCATCAGCGTACACACACCGGAGAAAAACCTTTTGTTTGTATCAAATGTGGCAAGGGTTTTACAAAGAATTGTAATCTTAAAAAACACCTTGCAGTACATCTAGATCCTAGTTTGAACATGTATGGTAGTGACTGTAGTGCACCGACATTTAGTGGAACATTCATAAATGGGACCACATAAAGCACCAACCAGCCAAATGCAACTTCTCCATGTGTTTAAAATATTTTGTGCATAATAAAGCTATCTTTATTCTAGAGTGCTGTGTTTTATATCTTCTGTGATAAAAATGTACATATAGTACATACAGTGCTCTGCTGCATATCTTTTATATCTCATTTTAAACAATTCATACAATGGTTATAGTGTGGAAAACAATATTTTTTTGTGAACTTAATGTAAAAACTGAAATAATCAATAAAAAACTTGTTTATTGATAGCTATCAATATCTTATCAATTACATAAACGCAGCCTGAGTTGCGGTAATGCAGAGGCCAGAAAATGAGTGAGCACGCAGTAACACCTCTTCTTTAGCACTTACTTTGAAAACCCAGTGAAAATGCTCAGTAATGAACAGTAACTGAAGCCCAATTAGGAGCAATGTGAAAATGAAATATTCTCCATTTATTTATTCAGCAGCTACAGCAAGTCTGAGCCAAAAGAACTGTTGGATGTACTGTAGATGGCATAAAGTCTTGACCTCATTATTTAAAACTTGGGACCTAACTTTAGACTGATTAATCTAGACTGATTAGGTAGGTACTTTATTGATCCCACAGTGGGGAAATTTCTGTTTATTGTGTAGTTCTGAAATGAAATGATGCAGTTTAACACTACTTTCAAACATATTTATTTTAATTGCAATTTAAAAAATATTCACCCAAACTCCTAGTATTGTGTAGAAGTTCAGATTTTGACCACTGCAGGGCAGCGAACACTCATGATTTTATTAGAGTGGCCTTCACAACACAACTTATAATTAAAATCTCTAATAATACAACTATCATCAGTACTGGTATTATTGGTAATCAATCTAATCAAACCGAAAATCAGTTGTACATATTGATTAAAAACAATGCTGATGAATAAGTGTTTTAAAAACAATCTACTGCAGTGATGCCCTTCGTCATTGTGACTACTCTGCTGCCACCTAGCGATAGACTCATGAATGTAACGTTACTGGTCACACCAGAGTTATTAGGAGTGGCGACAACTCCAGTGACTACTGTACAAGGACCGTTATTTATAGTAATGGCGGATCACTGGCACATCGAATAGTTCCAAACATTATCAGCAGTGCCATAGAGATACATTATCTTACAAAGTAAGAAGCTGAAATCAATAGCAGTAATTATACTTGTCACATTTTAAGTTAGCGACGTGTCAAAACATGTTTTACAACCTCCTTGTCTGTCTCTCTCAAATATTGAGTCTCTTTAATAATTAGGTACCTAGCTGACTAGCTAAATTGGCTGAGCTATCTACAACAACAACAACACTGAAATAGTTTGCAAAGCTGTAAAAGTCATTAAAAATAGTAACTGCTGATAAATCTCCCCGTTCCCTACAGAAAACAAAGGATTTCAATAGACTGTTTAAAACGACTCCTCAATGTCGCAGCACTTCTATCTTAACGGCTCTGGGTTAGACTTAAATGACATACTGACGTATCCGGTAAACCGCCCCACAATAAAACAGACACCAGCGTTTCTAATATGTAAAATGTAAATCATTGTAAATTCGAAGGGGTAGTCATTGCATGGCAAATACCCGACTGTATTTCGTGGTGCAGAGATCGATAACAAAGTGTCTAATATTACTAGCTTAAGGTACTTACATCAACATGACTATGAATACCCCACTAATGGACACATAAAATAATAATAATAATCAGTATTAATATCTCTATGATTCACACTGAAGAAGCTGAAAATGTTTATAATCTATAACTCGCGTTTCTGCTTCTACTGTGTCCGGTAAATGTTGGTACCGTTTTCCCACAATCCCTTGCGGCACAACTCTACCGCATATTTGATCAAGAAGCAACCTTGCTACACTGGAAATCTTGCCAACATTTCGAAAAACACAGCCTCTCTGTCGAGATGATGTGCGACACCACAAACCGAGGTTTTCGGACGCAGTTAGCCGCTATCCTGGACAAGCTAACGAAGGCGGCTTTGGTTGAAATAAGCACCCTGGCTGATGAATGCTCCTCCGTCCTTCACACGGAGATATCCCTGCACAAAACGGAAAATGAGGCTTTGAAGAAGAGATGTCGCTCACTGGAGGTCCAGTTGAGAGCAGCCCGGGAGGCGCAGACCTATCCTGTACTCTCCAACAGTGTTAGCCGTCGGCACTGTGCAGGTCAGGATTATCAGAAATCTGAATAGAGTCCTTTCTAAGTTACCACACTAGGGAGTGTTGTATCCAGAATAACAGTTCATATTTGTCAGGGCTACACATTGCTAGCTAGCTAGCTTTAGTGTGGACTAGCCACCTCTACATTTGGAGACACTGAAATTCATTATCATGAACCGGACGATGGCTTTGACCCTGAAAAAAACTTTTTTAAGAACTCTGAAAATAACTGCAAGTATTACACGGATGAGCAGTTTAACAGCAATGTCAAGACTGAAAACAAAGTATCACTAATTCACTTTAATAGCAGAAGTCTATACGCAAACTTTCAGAGTATAAAACATTATCTTAGTAGTCTGACACATTCTTTTAATATAATTGCTATTTCTGAAACTTGGATGAATAATGTAAGGGGAATGGATTTTGACCTTGATGGGTACGACTTGGTACGTACAAACAGAGAGATAAAGATGGGAGGAGGGGTGGCTTTGTACATAGATAAAAACTTTGTTATGAGAAAGTGGAGAAAATGTCAAGGGTGGTGGAGAATCTTCTGGAATGTGTGACGGTTGAATTACTTTTGGAAAAAAAGAAAAATGTTGTAATAAGCTGTATTTATAGAGCACCTGGAGCCAGCATAGAAAAATTTAATGACTGGATGGAGGAGAATTACTCGACAATAAGTCATAAATTAATGTTCATATGTGGTGACTTCAATATAGATTTGTTAAATCCTAACAAGCACACAGGAACTGAGGAGTTTATTAACACAATATATAGATGCAGTTTATACCCAAAAATTACAAAACCAAGTAGA